GGTTTGCATGTAATCGCTTGCTTATGCAATTCAAGATGTGCTAGTGCAAAATTTGTTATCCTTGGCTTCATACCAGAGAAGAAATTCATTTCCAGAAATGTATTATAAATTAGACTAGTGCAACATAATAATTAACGTGCAATGTGCTCAAGTTGTATATTATTGTTGTATTATATATATTTTTAAGTTGTATTATATATTATAGGCATTATTTTCAAGCAAGCCTTACGAAGACAGTTTAGGTATTCGCAACTTTCACAGATGGTGGAGTCGCCATGTGGCATCAGTAGCAACTGTCTTTTGGGGGATGCCCATGCCATCCTTCAGTCTGCCTCACTTTGGCGGCTAGCTGGCGCTTTATATTTGTCGCTGGCAATCTCTACTATGGTTATTGCAAAGTCGGGCAGTTACTGCGAATTGTAGTAGCAATGATTTAATCTTCATTGTTTGCTTCCCGAGCTAGAAGAATCGTAAAATATGTTGGATGCCGCTGTGCAGACACCGTGCAGTCAAAAAAGAAGTTTCCCGTTTTGCACGAGCACGACCACTTGGGCGTTTCTCAACACTCATTGTGGGATATAATACATGCAAGAGTCAATGACCTTTCCAGCAAAGCCTTGACAACACGGTGGCTGCAGCGGAAAATACTACACAGGTCGAAGTGATGGGCACACTAGTGGCGGCTGCCCGATCCTCCACAAACGACAGCCATGTTGGGCTTGCACCAGTGCCGTCTCTAAGCAATGAAAGTTAAAATTGCGATTAGTGCCAATGGTACTTAGTGGCTGTGGGCCACAGAAGTCTGTCGCTGTGGCAGCTGGGCAATAACAGCTTAACAGAAATGCACTGTTATGCAGTGCACATTAGCCAATGCCACCTAAAGATTTTCTAGCATGCACTGTGAATATGTGCAGGCCAAACCGGTGAACTTATTAATTAGAATATTTCTGTACCTCTGAAATGCAATGTGAAATGCACTAAGAATTAGCAGCTGTTTGTTTCATAAGGCAGAATGTAAGTTGTATGTACAAGTATTTATTTGAGACCCCATGTAAAAAAAAAAAAAACCCTTCAAAGATAACTTAAGTTACAAGTTGAGTTTGTACACAGAATGAGGATGGCAAACAAGTCCAAGAGAACACGTAGCTAGCCAAAGGATGGTTGGAACTGGATGTGTCGGCCAAATGATGAATCTTGTGATCGGTAGTAGATGAATCGAGAGGCGCAGTTCCCAACCACCCTCTGGAAGTTCTAGTCTTTTCTACAGTTCATCCTTTGTTGAGTCATCCTTGTCCGTTGGTGGAGGAGCTCCACTAGAGTACAATTTGGCCACAATGGGTTGAACAATCTCTTCGAGAGACTTCTTTTGAGCCTTCAGCTGTTCAGCATCGGCATCTGGATTCTGTTCCAGATATTTGATAGCCTCGTCCACAGCCTCTTTGATAGTAGTTTTCTCCTTGGCATCCAACTTGGCACCGAGCTTCTCCTTGTCCTCCACCTGGTTTTTGAGCGAATACGCATAGGACTCCAGTTCATTGCGAGCCTCCACCTTTTCTTTAACCTTCTTGTCCTCGTCAGCAAACTGTTCTGCATCCTTCACCATCCTTTCAATGTCTTCAGGAGTTAGCCTGTTTTGGTCGTTGCTGATGACTATCTTCTGCTTGTTGCCAGTGCCCTTGTCCTCAGCACTGACTTTCAGGATACCATTGACATCAATCTCAAAAGTGACTTCAATCTGAGGCACACCTCGTGGTGCTGGAGGAATTCCAGTCAAATCAAACCTACCCAGCTGGTGATTATCCTTGGTCATTGGTCGCTCTCCTTCGTACACTTGAATGGTTACTGTTGACTGATCATCAGACGCAGTGGAAAAGATCTGAGACTTCTTGGTGGGAATCACTGTGTTGCGAGGGATCAGCTTCGTCATAACACCACCAACAGTCTCAATGCCAAGTGTCAACGGGTTGACATCGAGAAGAACAAGGTCACCTGTGTCTTCCTCTCCTCCCAGCACACCAGCCTGCACAGCAGCACCATAGGCCACAGCTTCATCTGGGTTGATGCCTCTGGTGGGTTCCTTGCCATTGAAGAACTCCTTGACCAGCTGCTGCACTTTAGGGATCCTGGTAGAGCCACCAACAAGCACGATTTCGTCAACGTCACTCTTCTTCAAGTCTCCATCCTCAAGCACCTTCTGGACTGGTTTCATTGTAGAACGGAAGAGGTCCATGTTCAACTCTTCAAACTTGGCCCGTGTCAGAGTCTCACTGAAATCTTCTCCCTCAAAGAAGGACTCTATTTCAATCCTAGCTTGGTGAGCTGTAGACAGCGTACGCTTGGCCTTTTCAACTTCACGTCGAAGCTTCTGCACAGCGCGATTGTCTTTGCGAACATCCTTGCCGGTTTTCTTCTTGTACAGCTTGATGAAATGCTCCATCACACGCTGGTCAAAGTCTTCGCCACCTGCATGTACAAATACAGGAAAATTTCAGTGGAAACATTCAACACAAGCTGCGAATGCTCAGTTAATTTTTAATGGTGTAATACCACATGCCTAATAACGGAAGCATCTATAACAGATTCAGTGTTGAGGTCCCTCAACACCGTCTCCGACAGACGAGCTGCGCCAGCTGCAGAATGCCATAGCCCCCCCCCCCCCCCCCCCCCCCCCCATTATTGCTGCATGTAATATGCATTACCGATTACAAAAGGACCACTCGCTAGGCCTCAGACTTAGCATTTAAAGGAGCTAAGGGACATTCACATGGCAAACGTCGTCTGTAGTAGCTTCAAGGCACATCGTAGGTGGCAAAATTCATGGCTGTAGTAGACTCAAGCTATGGTCAGTGAAGTAAAAATGGCGAGTGCTGCATAGAGCATGTGGGGAAGATCTTTCTTGCTGCTGTTCCAAGGAAGTGCTGACAACCAAGTTCCTGTCTAACATTTGTACTCGTAGGCTAATCTGGTCATGTGCTAAACCGGGCAATATTGGAGTTATGCATAGAATGAAAGAATTCACGAAATAGTGTATACACACCAAGATGAGTGTCTCCATTGGTAGACACGACTTCGAAGACCCCATTGTCAATGGTCAGGAGAGAGACGTCAAAGGTGCCACCACCCAAGTCGAAGACCAAGATGTTCTTCTCTCCCTCCTTTTTGTCAAGACCATATGCAATCGCAGCAGCAGTAGGTTCATTGATAATCCTCATCACATTGAGACCTGCGATGGTTCCAGCATCCTTGGTGGCCTGGCGTTGGGCATCGTTGAAATAGGCTGGAACTGTCACGACAGCATGAGTTACTTTCTTTCCAAGGTAAGCCTCCGCAGTTTCCTTCATTTTGGACAAAACCATGGCAGAGATTTCTTCGGGAGCAAAAATTTTTTCGTCTTTTGCAGAGGTCTTCACCTGCGAATCAGAAGTGCAGCAACAATGCGAGAATGAGGACTACAATAGGGTAGACACTGCTCAGAAAAAAAGTTGCATATACAAAGCCTAACCTAACAAGCCATTAACATGCAAAAAGGCAATACTAACCACGATGTGAGGCTTTCCATTTTTCTCCTTCACAGCAAATGGGAAGTACTTGACATCATGCTGGACAGATGGATCCTTCCAATCCCGGCCAATAAGGCGCTTAGCATCGAAAACAGTGTTTTCGGGATTGCTAGTCAGCTGATTCTTGGCCGCATCGCCAATAAGACGTTCACCTTCAGCAGTGAAAGCAACATACGAGGGCGTGATGCGGTTTCCTTGGTCATTGGCAATAATTTCAACTCGCCCATTCTTGAAGACTCCAACACTGAAAAGAAACAAATTTAACATATGTTTAGACTACATTTACGTCTCACCACATTAATGTTCCCCAATCCCAACCACGCGATATTTAAATTGAGCAGTCACTGGAACAGGACAAGTTAATGTGGTCTAGAACGCTTACCAAGAATATGTCGTTCCCAGATCGATGCCTATGACAGTGCCGACGCTTTCCTTGTCTTTTGAAGCGTCGCTGTCTTTCTTCGCAGAGGAAACGACAGCGCACAAGAGCGCTGCCGTAAGGCATAACGACACTTTGTGCATCTTGTAGGCACCTGCGAGTGGCAAGGGAAGCAATTACAACCTGGCGTTACCAAACCGGCTGCACATGGGCAAGGTCACTAACGGTCAGACACCCCGGCGTAATGCGTAAGTCGCTCAATCAACTTAGCGGCGAAATTGTATATGAACACGTAGACTTTTAGGCCACCACCAAAAATGTACGGCGCTGCTACGAGAAACAGTCGAAATATAACCCACAAGACTGAAGCGTACCACATAAGTAAAGAAGCCGACAAAACCTTGACGCAGCAAATACTACACTAAAATTTTCGTGTCGGCGAAAGAATTACAAGCAGTGTGCACGTGTTGTGCATAGGCGTATGAACTCCAACTAGTACTTAAGTATATACAGGGTGCGTGCGAAAAAAAAAAAAAAAAAAGAACTAGAGAATGGCTTTCAGATTCAAGTCCACGTCATCACAAGAAGTGCACTTGAAACTGATGCCACCAGCGCCGGCGCGAGAGCAAACGAAATCAACAATTACAGCATTAAATAATGCAAAGGCAGAAGCACAACTCCAATCGATTAACCGGTATAATTTCAGCACTGTGCACCGGCGCACGATGCCGCTTACGATATGCTCAGATTTCACCGCGCTCAACGACACATTTTTACGCTTTTCTGTGGCACACAGTGAAACAAATCGGTATACAGGAGAACCCATACGTACAATTCGCTCTGGAAACCCCAGATGAACACTGACAACAGAACGCTCAAACAGCCGGCACAACTCTTGGACCGCTCAAGAACAACTGGTTTCACGCCGAGTAACTGACAGACAGCAGTTGTATGGAAGGCATGGTATAAGTGGTGGCTCCTCGTCGTGTCGGCACCGCATTGGTCAGATAAGGACAAACTAAGCCCCGTGATTGGTCAGATTCAAGGCACGTGGTACTACCAACAAACGACACGTAGCTCTTTAGCTTTCGCATTCCGGATTACACGAGAAAGCGCTAGAAGGACGAGGGGTGTGGTGACACGTATTGTGTCGTGCTGTTTTGATTCTTCGAAGTTTTCAAAAAGAAAAAAAAGTTGATGTTACGTTTGGATAGCACCAAAAGAAAATAGCATATCTGTGACGGTACTGCCAACAGCTAACATTGTGGGTGTTCCAAATTTAGAGCATAAAAAATATTTTTTCCATCGTTATGGAACAGCGTTTACAATAATGTTCACTGCACTTTGAAATTATTTGCAACTGTGCTAATCAATGCAATGTCATGGTGCATAATATGAAACGAAAACACTTTAATGAAAAGGAAGACAGAAAGTACGAGAACGTTCCCGTAGAGTAAAAGTGGCCACGAAACCGAAACTGGCTCCCATTGTGGATGCATGTAAGTATGTATTATTTCAAAGACTATGCAGTAACTTTTTATGCCGCTTCTAGTACCCATAAATATTAAATGACGTTTCAGTAGTGTACGGTAATTAATACGAATGTTTGTGCCGCAAAAGCAGAGTGATCGTAGTATTACAGCGTACTGTAGAATGAATCATAGCCTGTGCATGTTTGCAAATGGCCGGTAGTGTCGTCTGCTCTTTTGGATAACCGGTGTGATTTTTTTTACCTGCTTTTCTCCAATATTTAGCGTTACATCATGAATAGCCGCTTTCGTTTTGCCATGGAAATACAATATATTTTTTTTACAGTAAGTTCGTGAGGTTTTGTGTGCTGTGCCACTCATGGGCGTTTTTTGCATATTCGTAAAGTGCATTTGGTTCTGAATGATGAAGGCGAGAAGCAAAATTAACTATCCGCGATTGTGAATCGCATGGGCGTCTCAGTGACTGCGTTGGTCTCTGGTTACAAATGGGCATACGCAGTGCAGATTTGGTGTCGTTGTTGATGATGCAATATTGTATTACCTGGTGCTCGAAATGCTGGCTGCATAAGGTGACGTGGTGCACTCTTGACTGTCAAAGTATTTTTGGTTTGGCCTAGTTTGACAGCGTGACGTTTTCTGTGGTTGCCAGAATTCAGGGACATTATTTCGTAGGGGTGTCGCTCGTAATACAATTATAGGGATCACGCAATTAAAGACGAAATCGTTTACTGAGTGCGTACACGTGTGCTTTTTAGCGAACTTCTCGTTGATTGTTAACATGTGTGCTACATTAATTTGACATGGACTTAAGTATCTCAAACTGAGTATCTGGTGAGGAAATAGTGTATTCGATCGATAATTAATGTATAAAAGTTCAGCCCATGTTCAGCGTGGTTTCTTGTGCAGTGGAGATGTAGCAGCTGGGGGACAGTTGCTGTAAGGAAAGTGCTTTATAGCTATGTATCAATGCAAGCTTTATTACTATTTGTTTCTTCATTAGACGAAATGCCTAGCTTCCAAATATGGTAAATCCTACAGGAAACAAAGTGGCTACACGGAAGCATTTTTTTTTTTTCGCGCATATGTTGTGGATGACCTGTTCGGTAAAACCATCCTCCAAAATTTCCTATGTTTTCTCGGCATTTGGATATGAACAAAACTCGCCTGTGTATTTTTAATACTGTTTATTCGGTATACCTTCGAATTAACCATAAATATATCGATTATTTTTTAAAATCCCGATTAGAAACAGTTGGTGGAAATCTAATATGGATTAAAATGTGTGCTTATGTGCGGCTACATAAAATTCCCGACAGACTTTTCATAAACATCATTAGTAATAATATGTGGGGTGTATGATTATGATGGATAGTGGAGGGCTCCTGAAGTTTTGACCATCTGGTGTTGTTTAACATGTGCTCGCGCAGTACACGGGACCCTTTCGGCTCCATTGATGCGGCCGGGATCGAACCCACGACCTTCGGGTCAGCACCCGAGCAACTGATTCACCGAGGCGAACGTCTGAACATTCATTTATGCTGATTGTATACAGGCATTGGCACCAATATGCTACTTCTGAAATTCTGTCCTGATTGAAGCTTTAAAAATTGGGAAAAAAATATTATGGGAGAGTCATCAGCACTGCACTTAGTACGTATACTCGGCACATATTTTATGTATTCTTGCAGGTGAACAAGCTCATGCCACGAAGAACAAAAAATTTTGTTGCATGTATATATATATATATATATATATATATATATATATATATTGAGACACATGCATAATAGATAGTGCAACTATTGCATCATTTGCCCCGCCGCGGTGATCTAGTGGCCAAGGTACTCGTCTGCTAACCCGCAGGTCACAGGATTGAAACCCGGCTGCGGCGGCTGCACTTACGATGGAGGCGGAAATGTTGTAGGCCCGTGTACTCAGATTTGGGTGCACGTTAAACAACCCCAGGTGGTTGAAATTTCCAGAGCCCTCCACTACGGTGTCTCTCATAATCATATGGTGGTTTTGGGACGTTAAACCCCACATATCAATCAATCAACTATTGCATCATTACATTTATAAGGCACAGCTCATGGAAATATGCATTCAAGTGTGTCATTTAATGGATTCACATGCTTCACGGCTATTTGTCAAGTGCAAAATAATTTAATTAAGGCTTACATGAATGTACTTTATTGCTATCTTTCAGATCCAATGGTGTGAAAAATTGCAGCTATTCACAGTGTGGCTCACATATAACACAGTGCTTCTTTCTTGCTAAACTGATGTATAGAACAGCAGCTGCTGTGGTATAGTAGGTACAGTGCTTGGTTGCCGACCTGCAGAATGGGGGTTTGATCCCAGCCGTGGCAGTCGCATTTCAGTGGAGACGAAATAGTGAGGCCCGTGTAGTACTCGCATTTATGTGCACATTGAAGACCCTCAGGTAGTCGAACTTAATGAAGTCCTTATCTATAGTGTGCCTCGTTATCTCATCATGGTTTTGGCATGTAACGCATCTGCACTTATTATTATTGATAATGATATATGGTGTTTAGGGGCAGAAAGGTCAAATTTGGCCAAAGGCCACCAATAATGCAATAATGTAGTTTTGTGTATTCAATGGGTTCATGGCATGACTATATAGAGACCTAGAAGTCACTGCATTAAATTGCTTAAAATTTGTAGCATTTAAAAATATCATAGCGACTATAGCGGGATGAATGCTATGAGCATGATATGTACAATATTTAAACTAACACAAGTATTAAGAGAACAAGTAGCCCATCAGCCTCTCTGTAACCTTAAACATGTGTGTTAACCTTAAACATGTGTGTTAATTTGGTCACAGCGAAGTCAGGCATGTGCGATTACCGATGACAACATCACAACAGCGACCACTCAGTTTTTCTAGCGAAGATGATGTCCATCCAGCATCTGAATGTCATCGAAAAAGGCTAAAACAGATTTCACATCAAAGGGGCCATGACACGCAATCTTTGCTCATAATCTGTGTTATGTTGGTTAATTAATCCTTGGCTGTTAATGAACAAGCTGGTGAAATTTCAGCTCATTTTGTCTAGAACTTGATTTATAATGAGTAACACAATGTGTTGGTGGGCTAGTTGGTGTGAATGCATGGTGCTTTTTTTTTTTGCACAAAATGACACCAGAAGAAAGAAGGCAGAACACAGCACTTACTGACATGATTTGTTGAGCCACTCCATTCTTCTTACCAACCAGATACCGGTCGGACATGTGTTGTGCACACCATGCGCACAACCACCACAACTTGGTCGCTCGAGCGCAATCATGATAGTGCACCCAAAAAACAAAATTCAGTGGTAAACAAGGTTATGGAAGGCACAATAATACACTGCAAACCCAATGACTATGTAAAATGCTTTTAATAAATCTTGGGTCCTGGTATGACAACTCTTCTTTAATACATAGAAGCCAGTCTAAACAATGCTTGACAATTATACTTTTTGCAGTGCTGAGCCAAATGGGTGCCTATACCAGTCAGCAGGGATCGCTCACGTTCTTGAAGGCGCTCATTCACCCAGCAGCATGACTGATCTACATACACTTAGCCACAAGAGAGTCGCCTTGAAGACTACACCTACTCTGCACTCAACCAACTTCAGGTGTTTCTTTTCACGTGGCAGCTTTTTGTTTTCTTCACGAAAATGCCTGCACAGCTTAGACAGTTTGCGAGGGGGCAGAAAGTATAACTGGGAAAATGCAACCTGGATACCTAGTGGCCACATTCTCAAAGGGCCACTCACTAAGTTTGACAATTTTGAGCTGACAAGCATAATGCATAGATGGGGCGTTCGGGTTAACGTCTGCCAAAATTTGCAACGCTACATGCCATGGAAATGAGTCAAATTTCAAGATGAACGCTGCTCTCCCTTACCTTCGCGGACGCGCACCCAGAGAATGAGGGCATGATGTACATGTATGATCGGCTCTGCGCACATGGCAGTGCTGTGATGTTGGTCCTCTACGTAGACGACTGTACTCTGACATTGCCAACTGTTGCACGTGACATGGTGAAAATTATTTAAGATGACATGCGTAGTTTATGTAATTTGTTACCAGAAAAGATCAATAAAACTCGAGATAAATAATGAGACGTAATAAGAGAATGTGCGCATATTTTTTTTCAATTTTTTTCTTGTACATTGCAACGAGATGCGGGGTTAATGTTCTGGCATTTCGCATGGGTTCGTGTCTCCGCGGTCAGCGCTTTGAGCAGACGACAGCCATGGAAGCTGAAGTAATGCTCCTACGTGTTTTTGCACTTATTATGCTTATCTATTCTACCGGGTCTAAACCAGTGTTTCCAAACCAACCCGCAGAATCAGGTAGTAGACCACAAAATAAGGCTGGTCAAAAAGAAAAAAAAAAATGCTGCTCGCGTGTTTGGGGGTTGGGCGTGTTCGGGCACGTCATGCGCACGTGAGCTCTTGGTAGGATGCCGGAGAGAGTATGGAAGAGATTTGGCTTGCGAAGGCTACTCGGGAGAACGGCAATGGTTTCAAGCTCACCTCCTCTCATCCTCGTTTCGCGCCGCTTCAAAAAAAGTTTACATTGCTCGTAATGAACCGATTGAAAAAAATTTTTTGACATGATGCTCCTCATCGAACACAGAAATACTTCCATGGTCTAACTAAAATTGGTTATGGCTCCTCGTAAGTGGCCCTTTAAAATTGTGAGCCACATTGTGGCAAAACTGCACAACTACATACCTCTTCTTCTGTGCGTCGTTTGTACACCTCTGGCGTGACACTTAAGAGTTGTCAAACCACTGCCCGAGAATCATCAGAAGCTTTTTACATGCAGTCTATGGGTTTGGAGTGCATTAGTGTGCCTTTAATAACCTTGTTTACCATTGAATTTTGTTTTTTTAATGCGCTCCTATGAGTGCGCTCGGGTAACCAAGTTGTGGTGCTTGTGTGCATGAGGCATGTCCTACCGGTATCTGGTTTGTAGAAAGAGTGGAGTGGCGCAATATAGGGTTAGCTGTGTATTATTATCGTCACTGTTCAATATTCTGCAGCCATTTTTTTATGCTTGCATTCTGTTCATAACCATGTCTAATTACTGAACGTTGTTTTGTTACCATTTCTACTGGAATTCATATTGCATGTTTGCTTTGTCTTTATGCCTATCAGAATTACCTGCCGCTTTTTAGTTGCCATTTGTTGTACTTATCCACATGTATATTTCTGACAGGAGGTCCCCTTTCAGTCTTGCGCTATGGGGCCTCCTCCTCTATATACGAAATCTAATGCGTTTATATCATCGTCAGCCTGACTACGCCCACTGGAGGACAAAGTCCTCTCCATTATTCCGCCAATCAACCCGGTCTTGTGTTTTCCATTGCCATGTTATACCTGCAAACTTTTTAACCTCATCCACCCACCTTACTTTCTGTCTGCCCTTCATGCATTTGCCTTCTCTGGGAATCCAGTCAGTTTTCCTAATGACCAGCGGTCATCCTACCTACGTGCCCGGCCCATATCCATTTTTTTCTTTTTGATTTCAACTAGTACGATATCCTTAACCCCAGCTTGTTCCCTGATATACTCTATTCTTGTCTCTTAAGGTTACACCCATTATTTTCCTTTTCATCGCTCGATGCATCATCCTCAGATTAAGCTGAACCCTCTTTGTAAGCCTCCATGTTTCTGCTCCGTAGGTAAGTAGGCAAGGTGCAGCTGTTATGTAAGTTCCTCTTTAGGGTTAGTGACAGATTAGCATTCATGATTAGGGAATGCTTGCTGAATGTGATCAACCCAATCTTCATTCTTTTAGTCACTTCACTCTCATGGTGCGGCACTGCGGTTATTACCTGTCCCAAGTAGACATATTCCTTTACAATTTCTAGCATCTCTCCATCTATCGCAAAGTGCCATTTTCTGCTGAGACTGTTACACATTAGTTTTGTGCATATTAATTTTCAGACCCACTTTTCTGCTTTCCATGTCCAGTTCAGTTATTATGAGCTGTAATTCATCCCCTGAGTTACTCATCAAGGCAATGTCATCAGCAAATCGCAGGTTGCTAAGATACTCTCCATTAACTCTTATTCCTAACTCTTTCCAATCTAGAGTCCTCAAAACCTCCTGTAAACACACGGTGAATAGCATTAGAGAGGTTGCATCTCCCTGCCTTACACACTTCTTTATTGGGATTCTGTTGCTTTCTTCATGGAGAACTATGGTGCTTGTAGATCTACTGTCGATTTCTTCCTGTATGTTTATGTATGGTTCTTCGGTGCCTTGATTCTATAGTGCCTACAAAACAGCTGATGTCTCGACTGAGTCAAATGCCTTCTCGTAATCTATAAAAGCTATGTATAGGGGTTGGTTGTATTCTGTGCATTTCTCTATTAGATGACTGATAGTGTGAATATGGTTTATTGTGGAGTAGCCTGTACAAAATACTGCTTGGTTCATTGGTTGATTGAACTCTGTCACCATAATTCTATTACAGTAGACTCTCAGTAAGCGGAAATCTGTTAAACGGAACTACTGCTTAAACAGAACTATTGCCTCTGCAATGCTTGGTTTCGGGCTTGCATTCTGCACCCATGTTCACCTCTCAGTAAATGGAACACCGGTTAGATGGAACAAATTTTCCTGGTCCTTTCAGGTTCCATTTGCTGAGAGTCTAGTGTAGCTATTATTTTTGTAAATGGTTTGTAGAGAACGGGCAGTAAGCTGATTGGCTTGTGATTTTTCAAGTCCTTGACGTCTTCTTTCTTGTGGATTAAGATGGTGTTAGCGTTCTTCCAAGATTCTGGTACTCTTTCCGTCAAGAGACACTTCGTACATAAGGCGGCCAGTTTTTCTGACAATATTTCACCGCCATATTTCAGGAGGTTCATTGTTACCTTATCCTCACCAGCAGCTTTGCCTCTTTCCATTTCTTCTAGGGCCTTTCTTACTTCCCCTGTTGTTACTGGTAGGATGTCAAATTCCTCTGGACTACTGTATTTTTGTTTCTCACAATATCATCCTGGTTGCTTTGGATTCTGTACAGCTCTCTGTAGAACTCTTCCGCCACCACGGCTATCCTATTCATATTGGTTATGATATTGCCTTCCATGTTACTTAAGGCATACATTTGATTTTTGCCTATGCACAAGTTTGCCTTCACAGCTTTTAGGCTTCTGCCGCTTTTTACAGCCTGCTCAATTCTCTCCATGTTATACCTTCTGATGTCGGCTACCTTTCGCCTATTGGTTAACTTAGAAAGCTTCACTAGCTTTATATTGTCGGTTGCATATGAGGTTTTCATGGTTTGTCTCAATTTAATGAGATTTTTTGTATCCTGAGATAGTTTGCTAGAGTCCTGTCTAGTGACTGTACCTCTGATTTCCATTGCACACTTTTTTATCATAGTAGTAAGATTATTTTTCAATGTGTAAACGCTAACGTCGGTTACCTCATTTAGTGCCTCAAATCTATTCTGAACCTCTCACCGCTAGTTCATTACTAATTGGCTTTTTGCATATCAGTTTTTGTCTTTGCTTTTTTAAATCTAGGTGAATAAGAGTTCTTACCATTCTATGGTTACTGTATGGGATCTTGCCAACTACTTCTACATCCTGTACAATGCCTGGGTGCACACACAGAATGAATTTTATTTTTAGTTTCGCCATTAGGGCTTCCCCGCGTCCACTTACAGTCAGCTTGTTTTCTGAAGAAGGCATTCACGATCCATAAATTATTACGTTCTGTGAACTCTACTAATAACTCCCCTCTGGAACTTTTAGAATGGATGCCATATTCCCACACTGCATGGTCTTTGGTCTGTCTCTTGCCTATACTTTGGCATTAAAGTCACCCATCAAAATAGTGTGCTGTGATTTTACTTTAATAATGGCTGACTCTATGTCATCATAGAAGTGTTCAACCAAATGATCATCATGGCTCAATGTAGGCACGTAGGCCTGTACCACCTTCATTTTGTACCTTTTGTTAAACTTAATTAGGTATAATACTTGCCACCCCCTCACAGATTCTGTAGTATTCCTCTATGTTGCCAGCGATATTTTTGTGTATAAGAAACCCCACCCTTAGTCATTTTCTCTTAACTAATTCACGGTAGCATAAAACGTGTCCATTCTTCAGCACTGTATAAGCCTCACATGTCCTCCTAACTTCGCTGAGCCCTATTACATCCCATTTAAGTTCATCGAATAGCACAGCTAGACTAGCCTCACTAGATAGCGTTCAAGCATTGAAGGTAGTCAAGTTCAGATTTCAATGGCAGCCTGTTCGGACCCAGAAATTTTTAGCACCCTCCGTTGCTTCACAGGTCTGACCGCCGCCTTGGACAGTTGCTTCACAGCCGCTGGGGACTGAGGGCCAAGGGTTAAGTGCTGTATTCATGGGAGGTTGTGGCCAGGTGCTGCACTAGGGTGGCCAATCCTGCTCTGGTGAGGGAGTGCGTTACCGGCAGTGGGTCGCCAGTGAAGCCACACTCCAGACCACTTTTTTCTTTTCATTTTTTTAACGATTCCTTTATCATGTCTTTTAAGTAATTATATGATTGGGAATAGTCAGGTATCTGCATTCAAACTGAATTGTTTTATTCCATGCTAGGTTACTACGCTATCTCTAAGTAGGAGGTTCTGTTGCACTTCTTAGCACTGTAGAATACCACCTGACTCGTAGCTCACCTGGCCTTCTTTTCTGAACTGCTTTAAAGTCTATTTAAAGTTCAAAAAAGAAGAAAAATGACACAGTTTTGAACGTCTGATCTTGTGAGCTTAGGTTGGCTTAGTGCCCTAGGTGGCCCCGTTGTGGTGGTCTAGTGGCTAAGGTACTCGGCTGCTGACCCGCAGGCCGCGGGATCGAATCCCAGCTGCGGCAGCTGCATTTCTGATGGAGGCAGAAATGTTGTAGGCCCGCTTGCTCAGATTTGGATGCACGTTAAAGAACCCCAGGTGGTCAAAATTTCCCGAGCCCTCCACTACGGCGTCTCTCATAATCATATGTATCAGGTTTTGGGACGTTAGATCCCACATATCAATCAATTAGTGTCCTAGGTAACCCTCCTTCTCCCACATTTATTCTCTTCTAACTTCTACCTGTCTCGCTGAATTTTGACATTGTTGGCTTCAAAGTGTCCGCAGTGTCGGACTTTTGCTGAGGGGTAGCACTCATACTTTGACGCTTCCTGTCAACTGATAATTTGGGCGCACCTGTTTTGCGAACTAATGGGCCACTTCTGTGATTTTTAGGTTTAGCGTATTCGTCGGGGGCGGCTGCAGTGCATTAAAATTTAACGCGAAAAGTTTCTGAGTGCTAAATAATAGACAGGTGCTGCCCTTAAGGCTGTATCCTATTTTGTTGGCATTTTGGAATTGTAATTAAAACTCTAGTAAATAGATAAGGAAGTAAACAGTGGCCCTCAGTTGGGAGTCAGATATACATACTAGTAATTACATCTACGGTTAGCCTAATAACGTTAGATGTAAAAGTGAGGAGCGAATTATTTCTAGTTCTAGAAAGTGGCAAAAGGCGAGAAACTTTGTACGAAAGTAATGACGTGTCTGCATCACTCACCAAAAAGCGTCAGCTTGAATTGCTAGACCTCGACAACTCTCGGCACTACACTCATACAAAGCGACAAGTCCATGCGGCATATTTCTGCGTTTATATATCTTGCAACCAATAAACATTTTTTGATTAGTTTGAAATCATGTCAGTTGAAAGAAGTGATGTGTTCTGTCTTCTTTCCTATGATGTCATTATGCACTGAAAAAGCACCATAGATTATAACGAGCATTTTAATTAAAGACACGCACGACCCGAGAGTCTGAAAATAGTGGTGCACTCGCGAGTCGTGACATAACGAACCGCTTGTTTTGCAAGCTTCTGTAATCCAACGAACGATATTGTTTCCTGGTTAGCTACACGTGCAACTATACCTGTGCACTGGTATTAAAATTGCCGGCGGCAGCGCACTGGTGTTTCCACCTTTGGCAGCAGTGTTTCACCAGCATGGGGTCCATCCTAATGGCGGCGATGCAGTGCAGAGAGGGAGGGGGGGGGGGTTGGAGAAAGTTTGAAGAGCCTCTTGATTTTAGCTTTTAGTTTACTTTTTAATGCATTAAATAAAGAAGCATTATAATTACACTTGGAATGACAATACTTGCGTGAGCACTTTTTGGAACATATGAGTTAGATGAAATCTTTATATGGTAGCATAAGTCTCTTGGGTTCAATTTAATATAATTTTGTAGTGCATGCTTCGATAGACATTATCACGAAACTTGATTGATTCATATGTAAGGTTTAACGTCCCAAACCACCACATGATTATAAGAGACGCCGTAGTGAAGGGCTCCGGAAATTTCGACCACCTGGGGTTCTTTAATGTGCACCCAAATCTGAGCACACAGGCCTATTGCATTTTTGCCTCCATCGAAAATGCAGCCGCCGCAGTCAAAATTCGATCCCGCGACCTACAGGTCATCAGCCGAGTACCTAAGCCTCTAGACCACTGTGGCGGGCCATCACAAAACTTGAGAATGAGTGCATCCAGAGTGCAAAGTTTGCTGCAACATTCCGATTCCTCAAAATATGAGGCTAAAGTGTCCAGTATGGAAATGTAATCAACTTTGAGAAATTTCCAAACATCTTTATTCTCAGGTCTTTGAGGAGAACACGCTATGATCTATAGGTGATTTTAGCAGTTTTATGTTAAAAAAAAAAACATTTGACAACTTCACATTTTACACAGCGCGATAGGAGCATGCAACCTCATAATAGGCTGCAGAACTTGGACGACAACATTGGGACCGCACAATGGTACTAGTACCACAGCTGGTACTAGAGATAGCAGAGATTATACACAGCCTAACTAAGAGCACCAGGCAGAAGTAACTTGTCTGGCGAGCTGCACATTATCTGGTTATATAGCTTTTCATGACGGGGCTTGGAAGAACCAGCGAAACTACTAGATAGTTACAGAACTCAATGTGTCTTAATTTGCCGTATACTCATACAACTGTTTTTCTGGACAGAGCTTTTGTTGTTTGTGCTACACCATTTCTTTAACACCTAAACCCACCCCTTCTTTCCTTTACCCAGATGAGTTGCAAGCACTGCTCGAGGTTCGACGCTTGCAGTCTTAATGAAAGACCTAATAAAATTACATTTCAGTGGTTACCCGATCCCTGTGGAATTATCGGCAATGAACGGGCCGATCAAGCTGCTTGCTCATGCCACGCAGAAGGCTATGAACTGCTACTGCTGCTTTAGGACCCATGCTGCACGGAAGCTCCTCTAGCTTGCACGTCTTCACACCACGTCACAATAGAATTATCCGCACATGATGCATGCCCGATAGTACTTGCTTGACCCTACATTAAATCTTGAAGACCCGTCAAGGCTTCGTCGAGCAGACGTGAGCCTTTTGTGTAGGCTGTTGTTTGGTCTTGCATTTGCCAACGCGTATACTTTCCACATTGGGATGGCTGGCAATGTAGCCAGTGACTGCTGTGGCAATGAAGAAACCATTGGACCTACCTTTTGTGACTACCTACAGTATTGTGCGCAATGACAATGCCTTTGCAATGAGCTCGACAAATCAGACAATCAACTTCTGTCAAAGCAAAGAATTTTACACCATTGCCAGGATGCAACGTGGCATCAGAAGGCCCTGCAAACGCTACTGTGCTTTTAGCAATTGACCAGCCCTTCTGAACAGTTGTAGCCAGAACACCTTTTCTGTATATGTGCTTTTGTTTTCACCTGCGTGCACGTACGTTTTTTAAGGGACGAAGCTTCTTAAAGCGTGGGTCTGTACATCCTCCGATGTATGTATTTGCAGATAGCCACTTCTGGTTTAGTTTTTGCAGTGCTCACTAGATGGCGGTACTTGTAGTTGATAAATTTAAAACTACATGGCGGAACTTGTAGTTGATGCAACGTTACTAGATCCTGCCAGTTCTCAAACTGCGGAGCTCCACCTGACGCCGTTTCATTGCGCTTTGCGTGGGGGCGCGCATGACGGAGTTTGCCTGGCAATTTGCGGCGAACCGCTAGACACGGACGACCGTTGTAAACAGCCCACTGCAGTGTGCTTAATAACGTTTGCGCGAGTACCTGCAGATGTTTGTGGACCATGCTGGCTAGTGTATGAACGATTACACGCTTTTTTATGCCCGGATATAAAAGCGGGTGCGATTTCATTCTACCTTCGGGGAACCAAATGCTATGCTCGTTTCTGTAGAAGATGCATTGACGATTGCTGGAGAAGCTCATAGCAGGTTAAAAAGAGCTAGCTTGCGCACTCAAATTGAAGCTAGGCTAAGAAATGATATCATTTTCCATGCATTACTCCTGACCAAATGAGTGATGAGCACAGCTACTTCAAAGGTTCACCAGACGACAGTGCTACTTAGCTGGATATGTTGTACACAAAATGACCGAGCATAAAGAGTGCCAGTTGTGTCTACAGGACGTTAGTTCAGAAGCTATTGGCTTTGATGCATACTTAACTACGTGCAGGAGCTTCAAGGAAGGCAGCCTTAGACACCCCAGCATCAAGATGCTACACTTAATGAGAGTTGTAAATGAATCTATTTCACTTCCTCTTGATGAGAAAGGTCTCTGTGCGAACCTGTTTTGGAATGTCTTGGACGAGTTGGATTAATGCAATCTGACGAGGCTAGATTGCGACCAGCACAAGCCTACGTTCACATGTCAGGTCCTGTATTTTTTCATCGTGAGACGAATGCATATTTACGCCAGGGATGTCAACTGACGCCTTGAAACCCGCGAGAATGTTTTCATCACCACCAAGAAAGCTCGCCTATTGTAAAGCCGTTGAACATTTGCATTGTGTGCGTGCACGTGTCTTGGGCCTGGGCAATAAAAGCATTTTTCGGCACTGAGAATAAAAGTTCATTTTTTTGCTCAGTTTTTCTCTGCAGTAACGAATATTCGGAAACATTGGCCGCACGTTTGCGGGCCGCTTCGCTGCTATAGCATTGCTTTTCATTTAGCTCATATATACATATATATATATATATCATGTGCATTGTAATGCTAACCAGTGCAGATGGCGCTGACCTGTTATTGAAAGGAGCTTTGAAAGCCACGTATAAATTCTTGTCACATTACTCCGACGAAGGCTGGTCCACTAGCTAAAAACGTTAAGTAAAGACGCTTCCATGAAAGCTTCGTCGTCTCTTTCTTGCATACAATACGTCAGGTCTAGCGTGAATGACGTTCAAGGAATCTGGTGTGTGTGTGTTTTATTGCTACATAAACACGAAACATACATAAGTAACAAGAATGGCGGGATAAAAGCTGCTCAAAGGCAGCTTAACTAGTTAAACCTCGCCATACAGTAGCAGCAGCAACATGACAAGAATTCACACAAATAATGCACTTGTTGATTGATAACCTTAAAGTAGACACACAAAGCAAGGCAATAAAGAAATGGGAATCTAGGTGATTCATAAAAAACGACAGTATACTTATTTTGAAAACACAAAATTAAGGATAACATTCATAATAAAAGTTGAAATAGTGCGTATTTAGATATGCGGTATTTGTAACAAATCATCACCCGATTACTCGAAGAGGTCCCTAATGGCAGTAGAAATTTGAGACTCATTGAAGGAGTATTTCAAGGCAAAGAACGGCTATTTACAGCGCGCGCCGCCGGCTTCCTGCTGCACAGAAATGGGCTAACCTTGGCCGCCGCGCCGTCTGGTGAGCGGAAACGAAACAGGACCACGTATCTAAGGCAGCCGCCATGGGAGTTTGAGAACTGGCAGGATCTAGTAACATTGTGATGATGCTTGTAATAGATAAATTTGAGAACTTAATGGCGGTACTTTTAGTTGATGATGCTTGTAGTTGATAAATTTAAAACTAGATAGTGGTACTTGTAGTTGATGCTTGTAGTTAATAAATTTAAAACTAGATGGCGGCACTTGTAGTTGATGATGAAAGATGCAAGATGTTATAGTAGGAATGATGTCACATATGGTGCGTGTCATTGGTGGAAGACAATCGTTCGGGGACGTACACTAGGGGGAACGTTGTAATAAAATTCGTTCACTGTTGGTGCGCGCTCATAGTTGCCGGATCGACATGGCTGCAGAGCAGCGAGCGCACAGGATGACGGCAACGCACGCTCGCAGACAGAATTCTGATGTGCAAGCCCGTGAGACAGAAGTGCGCTGTGAAGCTGCGCGCCGCCGTCGCCAAGATTCTGCTGTACGCGAGCGGGACCCAGCCATATGAGAGCAGGAGGCCGAAGCGTGTCGCCTGGCATCGCGCCGACGCCGTCAAGATCCTAGCATTCGAGAACAGGAGGCCCAACTGTCACGGCAACGGCGCAAGGACCCTACCGTACGAGAGCGCGATGCCGAAGCCGCACGACTGCGGCGTGAAGAGTATCTCCAGAATGTTAGAGAATGGGAAGCAGCGAGAAAGCGCACGTATCAGCAGGCAGACTCTGATGCGGTGAGAGTTCATGAGGAGTCTGCAAAACGTATCAGGCGAGCTGAGCCCGAAAGTGCCGACGCGCGGTTTAAGCGAGACTTTCTAGACGTTTTGTTTGGCCATAGTTGTGGTGTGTGTGACAGACTGTGGTGCTCAAACAGTCTAGTCACAATATCTTCCATGAAGAACGACCAGGCTCACGCCAATGCCATCGCCATCCTGCAGCGCGAGTTCTCCGCCGGCAGCGGTGAGTACAAGGTTTGCTCTAGCTGCTAGGATTTGCTAGTGTTGGAAAAGATGCCTCCAATGAACGTATCTCAAGGCTACACATACCCACCCAACCGGATCACTTGCATCCTCTGAACCTCGTGAAAGAACGACTGATCGCTCCTCGTTTGCCGTTCATAAGCATAAGGCAGTTGACGCTTGGGAGTGGACAGTACGGCATCAAGAGGCAAGTGGTTCACGCTCCAATAAATGTTCCCAACACGGTGCAATGCCTACCTCGGAACATTCCGGATGTGGCCATCAACGTTCATCTCAAGCACCGGCTCGTGCGCAAACTGTCGTATAAGAAAAGTCTCGTTAAGGAACTTAACATCCACAAGTGGCTTAAACACCTCGAGCATTCTCCGTTGTACAAGTACGTCAAAATAGAAATTGATTGTAGCCACCTCGCGAACATGCAAGACGACAGTGACGTGGACGATGACGAGATCAAGCCAGCGCCGGAGGTTACCGACCTGAAGATCCTATGCAGGCGGCGATTGTACTCAACACAATTATGCATACCACGATCTTTGACAACGGAACTTGCATCATCACTAACTGCGTCAACAGCGGCGTCAACGCTGCGGTGGAATCTGCGGAAGGAAAGGCGGCGCATTTTGAAGCTGATGAAGTAGGTCTAATTGAAGGTACGCACACTCTCTACGCGGCACCTGGGAAACGCTGACTCCCTCCCATCTCTCTGCTCTTTGGGGAGTATGTCGAAGAGTTGTCGTTCCCTCAAATATACCTCGGTATACCTTGTAAAATCACCGGACCCAGACCGACTCTCTTCACAGAGGCGAGTAGCAAGATTCGTCGTACTGATTGTCGCGGAGTGTGCCTTGATCACGTCTTGTACATGGCCATGAAGGTCATGCACCACAATGTTGCCAGCAAGACCATGACGTTCAGGACCAATGCAATCACCAGTGCGATTAAGCGGCAGCAACTTGAGAATGCAGATTTCATGGATGAAGTCCTCAACCGAGACTACGGCTTCATGAGAGGCATACCAAACACCATACAATACTGGCAAGATCGAAGAAAGGAACTCTTGGCAATGATTCGTCAGTCGGGTAAGCCTTACGCATTTTTCACGCTCTCTGCTGCGGAACTGCACTGGGACAGACTCGTCGAAATGTTGGAGCGCTCTCGAGTGGGTCCCGAAGGTGTGGCACGAACTGTGGAAGAATTGAATTCCATGCAATGCATCGAACTGGTCAACAACGACCCAGTTGCGTGTGCAATTTACACCCATCGAATCTTTAATGTGATTCTCAACATACTCAAAGATAAGAGATGCTCATCGTTCAAACCCTATGTTGTGGGAGATTCCTTCAAGCGGGTCGAATTCCAACTGCGTCATAGTGCACACATTCACATCATTCTGTGGCTGAATAACGCCCTGCAAGAGGAAGTGTCTGGCAACATGCCGTGCACACTGTAAATAGTCAAATCGTTGCTTAGGCTTGACACAGACCTTCTAAAGAGACCCAGGACTCAGATGCACGCTCATACCCACGCTTGCTATAAGCAGGGATGCACCAAGTGCCATTTCGGAGCACCAATCATGCCCAGTTATGACACTAGGATTGTAGTCCCCTTTCCTCCAACCGGGGACGAGGCGGAGAAGGCATGTCATCAGAAACTCAAGCAAAGGTACGACGAGATACACGAAGCTTTGGAGAAGGGATCGTTCGGTCCGACGCAGATTACATAGACATTCTCAGCACTGGATTTACACGTCCCTGCGTTCTACATCGTCGCACTCCAGCGTAAAAAATGGTCAATCCCTTCAACCCCTGGATAGCCAAGGTCCTAGATTCCAACATGGATCTTTAGGTGATCCTAGACCACTACGCCTGTGCAACGTATGTCGTTGATTACTTCAACAAGTCTGACCGTGGCATGTCCAACTTCCACAAGGCCGTAATGCAAATTCTAGAAGAAAAGCGAGAAATGGAATACTCTACCATCATACGTTCTCTGCGAGAGACCATGCTTAAGTGGGTCGAAATGTAGGTGCAAGAGGCAGCCTGGTTCCTCTTAGGTAAGGAAATTTCGGAAAAGAGCCTTGAGGTCGTCTACATACCCACGTGCTGCCAGAGGAACAAATGCATGTACACGAGACCAACGAGGAACCGACGTCTGGAAGCTTAACATCGTCCAGAGGTATGAGGGCAGGCCGCCAGAAATAGAAAACCTTTGCCTTGCCAACTTTACAAGCAAATACAAACACGGATACAGTCTTCGTGAGCACCCCATCATCACCCGCTACCGCCATTACAGTGCCGCAGATCGACCAGATGATTACATGAGAGAGCAGGTCCTCCTTTACGTACCCTTCAGGGACGAGGCTGTTGATGTTCTAGATAATAACAAATACATTCAGACGTATGACGCAAACAAAGACCTGATCACTACCAAACATCGCCAATACAACACCGGCAACGACGACGATATCTTGGCTCATTTGACTGAAGAGCGCGCTATACAGCAGCAATGAAAAGATGTCGCCACCGCCATTAACGCCGCAGATTCCATTGCGATTCCCGTCGCCAAAGAAGACGCCGACCTCTTGCCCAACGAAGAGCTGATGCGTGCTGTCAAAGACACCAGTCCCTGTGAGGTCGTGCGGAAAAGGCAAGACATTATGGATAGAGAGGAATATGTCAAACTCATGCGCACGACTAATCCGGAGCAGTACGAGTTGATAAGAGAGATTGTGTACAGGCAAACCACCATCCGTTCACCACCTCTGTGGGTCTTCCTCAGGGGACCTGCAGGGTGTGGCAAAAGGCTCATTCTCAATCTCATCATGAACGAGTACAACCAATATAACGGAGAGGCACGACCGTACAACTCGTACGTCATTTGCGTCACCACGAAAAGTTGGCAGCTGCGGTCGGACGCACCACCCTACATTCTGCGTTCAAGCTTACCCACAATAAGGACATGGGGTTGGGTGACAGCCCCGCCGCGGTGGTCTAGTGGCTAAGGTACTCGGCTGCTGACCCGCAAGTCGCGAGATCGAATCCCGGCTGCGGCGGCTGCATTTCCGATGAAGGCGGAAATGTTTAGGCCCGTGTGCTCAGATTTGGGTGCATGTTACAGAACCCCAGGTGGTCGAAATTTCCGAAGCCCTCCACTACGGCGTCTCTCAAAACTA